TTGAACATTATTTAATGGCCATTACAAAACTTGTTTAATGTTAAAGTTTTGGTGCTAAATTATCTCCACAGATCCTCCAGTTCTGTCTACCAGTCTGACCTTCGATGTGTCATTGTGAGGGTTGGAAACAGTGAGTAATTTCTTTCTTTTACATCTTTAATTTATTATTTGTTATTTTCCAAACTCACGATGTTTCTGCTGCTGTTATCCCAGTTCCCTCCATAGCAACTCCAAGTCCTCCTCCTGAAACAAGTAAGAAGGACGATGAGTCAATTCTTTATTTTTCATCTTTGATTTATTTTTACTTTTTATGTCCTGAACTCATGTTTCTGTTATCTTAGCTGTGACTTCAACCACTGTTGCCGTCCCTTTGACAACTCCAAGTCCTCCTCCTAAAACATGTAAGTCGGATGGAAACAGGACTGAAAGTAACAGGAAGTAGTTCTTTCTACCATGTTGATCTCTTTTTCTTCCAGCTCGTCTTACGGTTCTGAAGCTGAAGATCTCGACTACGCTGCCACTGAAGGACAACAAGGATGAAATGGAGAAAGCGGTCAGTGATGTCCTGGACTTTAACACAAACCATCACAACCTGAGTTTAAACCAAACACATTTCACTCAAATGTTAAATCATAACCCAAAGTGATCACCTGCAGTGATGCAGTTCAGCTCTGCTGTTGTTGTTCTTAATGTTGATCAGATTCTGTTCAGTATATTTTATAATTCACCACTGACTGTGTCTCACATTCATCTCATGTTTTCTTCTGTAGATTAAAGATGAACTGATCAGACGAGGGCTGCCTGCAGACATAAAGGTCCGCCTGCTGAGCGACGGTTCAGTGCAGGTTAACGAGAAGGCTGCCCCCTAGTGGCTAAACATGAGAATGAATCTGATCCCTGCAGTAAAATATGACCAACGTTATCTGTTTTAAATGTTGGGACTTATGGTTGTTTTAGGTAGTAGGACTAAACTTTGTTATGACAATAAGCAGAAATAATAGAGTGAATTTTTATTTCTGTGAAAATATTTATAAAATACTGATAATTTCATAAAGAAACTATAATTGTTTAGCAGTTATTAAGATAACGAATAGAAGAAAATGTAAATAAAATAAATATTTGGTGTCACCTGAACTATTTATTAAGTCGGTATTTTCTGAGCGTTTGGTATTTCTTTATTACCGTTTTCCATGTGTAACATTTATGCCTCTGAGGTTTTTAATAATCTTAATATCATAGAATTTTCTACACTTATATGTAGAAAATTATATGATAAAATAAGTATCATATAATTAAATAAGTAATAAGGTAAATAAGTAATGAAGATGTATATTTACTATGTATAACAGCAAAGTTTTTTGCATTAGTTTCTTTTATCTGTAAATATTGGGAAAGAAAACAGTGACTTCTTTATCCTGGTTGATTTCCATGGAGGAAAACGTGGTTTGGATTCTTCCATCTCTCATCATCCTGTTAAGTCAGAATGCTCTGATTCATGTTATTTATGGTTTGTTTATCAATGAATGAAAACAGAATAAAATTGCACGATACCAGTTAGTAGCATCAAGTCTTCTAAGAGACAGTTATTGGATAAAATCTTGCCAAACATATTTCATGTCATTTTCCCCAAATCCCTGAGAAAATAAAGGTTTCTGCTTTTCCTGGAATCACATCAAAGACTTTTTCTTCCTCTTTTCTCTGTGGGCGGCTCATTGGCTGCAGGTTTTCCTTTTATTTGGACGCAAACAGAGGCTGAAAAGGTTAAAAGTCTCTAATCAATCCATCACCAGTGTTTCTAAAACATCCTGAATAAAAGCGGCTGAAACTATTGTTACAACAGCGCCCCCTGCTGTCTAACTATTGGAAGGTATTTTATGCCAGAAGAGAAATGTTTCCTGAAATTTAATATTTTCACTTTTCCCCCCGACATTCTTATCTGAAATGATTTAGATTTACAAATATGCAACACAAATATTTTATTTTTGAATAAGTGTGTCTTAAATAAATGTTTGTAATAAATCAAATTTAACTTACATTGAAGGTGTCTCAGTTCATCTTTTGAGTTCATGTTTTTAATGATGTTGTGTTATGTAACAAATGAAGCTGCTCGGTGAGCTGGTTTTAATGGAAGTATTTAAGTTGTTTATTTTCATAGATTAAATTATTCATCTCGTCTCTTAATGAATTCACATTTCAAAACAAACTGTGACCTTTCCTGTTACTCCACATAACACTTCGCTCTTAGTGTTTTGAATCCAATCTTTCATCCATCAGACGTTTTCCTCATACCAGGTAACATCCTCTTCCATTATGCTCATGCATACCATTAAACCGTTGTCGAATGGTACACAGGGTGTGAACCAGACGCTGTCTGTCTAAGTATAACTTCGTTTGTCTCTGATAACTTTCAGTTTGTCTCTGCAGACCTTCACTCTGTCAACATGTCTGTGCTGCTGCTGCTGCTGTTAATCAGCGGAGCCCAGGCTTCTTATCACGGTTTTGTCTTCAACTACGCTTTCGGAAACTTTTACCCAGGCGGATACACGGTAAGTTGAGCTTCTTTATAAATATTGTTTTAGTTTTTTCCAGGAAAAAAGACGTATTTACCGACTCTCCACTGTAAATCCTCAGCTACCCTACGACTTTAAGTTGAGCTTCAGCTCCTGTGAAGAGTTCGACACTGAGACTTGTTTTGGATACTGTAGTGGGCCAACTTATTCAGTCGATGAAACTGGAGGTGAATGGTGTCAGAAAGGATATGCTGACACTTTCTCTTATCCATACATGGGCACATTAACTGAATCGTAAGTCCACTTTGACTTTAAATGGAAATATTATTTCTTTTACTCAGATTGTAATCTAGTCTTAAACAAGACAACTCCATCAGCTGAGCTCATTTGGGTTTTTCAGGTTGTAAGATGGAAACATCTTCCGTCTTGTTGGTCTACAGAGATTTGGTCTTTCTGGGTTATTTTCTGTAATATTTCAGAACATCTTAATGTCGTCCTGTGTAGGGTTAGTACAGCAGCCTGGACAGAAAACAGAAATGGGATTGTCCTATCGAAAGCAGTTTTGAAGTTTGACACCAGAAACCGGTCTGACATCTACAAACCCAACTCATCGCCCCGGACCACCATCCTCCCTCTGGTCAGGTAATTCTGCTTACCATTGGTCATTGGTCATTACCATAGTTTCATAATCTGTGAATCAGATTATGAAACTAAAGAGTTACATAAAGAAAAGATGATTATTGTCATGAAAATACAAGATCAGTTACGAACGTTTATTTTTTTTATTGGATGTTGATGCTTTTGTTTCAAAGTGTTTCAGTTCAAAGCAGATAAATTGTAATGAAATACATTTGATTATGTGTGCTCTGAGGAGAGAGTTCATCTTTACAGAAACTAAACTGGGACAATTTCTAAGAAAACAGATTAGAAACGAAGTGATTTGGGAAGATAAACCCTGAAGAACCAGCCAGACGGGTTCAGATCCACGAAACGACTGATAGACGCGGCAACATGTTGTATGCAGAGTTGGCAGAAACTGTTCAATAACATTTTCATGAGTAACTATTAAAACAAACTTTTAGAAGTATTTTTACAATACTGTATTTGAGTAATTTTACCATAAAGTATTTATACTTGAGTAAAGTTTCTGTTTTCTCTACCTGCTGGATTAAAAACAAACAGGTGTTATAACTAAATATTCACCAGACACACACCTACAGTTTTGTTAAAGTTTCATAAGATTTTTATGGAAAGAAACTGATTTGAAAAAAATTATTTTCCTGATTTTGTTGCTTATAAGAATTATTGTAATTTCCGTCCTTAAATACTAAAATTTCCACTCAACTTTATATTTTGGTTCATCTGATGATGTACTTTTTAAATATTACATGATCGATAATTTGATCAGTTACTCAGTTCTTGAGTAGACTTTTTACCAAATACTGTTTTACATAAGTAAATATTTTCCACCTGTGTTGAAATGTTTCTTTTCTCTCAGAGTTCCTTCAAACTGTCAGAGGAACATCAACCTGCTGGTCTCTGACCCGGATGGAGACGACGTCAGATGCAGATATGCAGCCGGATCAGAGTGCATCACCTGCACTCCTCCGTCTGTCCTCAGTGTCTCATCTGTAAGTATTAAATTTAGTCTGGATTGTCTTACTTTATAAAAAATATTACACAAAGTTATGTGGAAATGTTGGTATTTTAAAGACTGAAATGATTCATATAAATAATATAATTATGAAATTACAAAATCAGGCAGAATTTTTTTTTTTTTTAATAAAAAACTGATGAAACTTTAACAAAAACTGCAGGTGTGTTTGTGTCTGGTGAATATCTGATAAAAACATGTTTGTTTTTCATTCAGGGGGTGGAAAATCCAGAAATTTTACTCAAGTAAGAGAAGAGATCCTTCAAAATAAAATTACTGAATTGTAAAAATACTCCTAAAAGTTTTTTCAAGAAAGATACTCAAGTAAATGTAACTAGTTATTACCCAACTCTGCTGAGGTCTGAGAATTAACAAAACAGGCCATATTTAAACTGAAATATCCTGTAAATACCCCCTTTCTCTAACTGCTGACATGCAATTTAACTACTGATAAAAAAGAATGTGTTTTCTGAATAAATTGTCCTATTTAGCTACTTATTTCAGCCCAGATTCTTTAAAATGATTTCTAACTGTGAGTTGATATCAGTCGCTCTGATCAAACGATGTTTAGAGATTTGGCAAAAATGATGAAGCTGGAAACACAGGCAGCATTTTAAAACTCCTCCCTTTCACAGTTTGAAGGTTTTAAAAAGTCGTCTTTCCTGGCCAGGAGGTCAGAAGAAAAATGTGGATTACAGTGCATGTTCGCCCTTGATTTCTCCAGCACCGATGCATGCTGGGAGATGCAGTTCAAATAGTCTGTGAATAAAACGTTTTCATTTACTGATCTGATGAGTGATCCCAGAGGAGACTGCCATGTTTTGTTGAATCTGATTTTAAATAAAAAGACCTTTTTTCTTCTCCTTTCTCTTCTCTTCCAGTCTTGTTCTCTGTCATTCAGTCCCACTAACAGCAGTGCTGAAGGTCCGTATGCGGTTCAGATGGTTCTGGAGGATTTTCCCACACAGACCATCACTCTGACTGATAGCTTTGGTTCACAAGTGATGAAAACTGCCAGCGACTCCATCGGCACCACGCCTATCCAGTTTGTTTTCAGAGGTAAAGCTGCAGAGTTTGAGCTTGTTTTGAACCACAGAGCAGCTCTGAATTATAAAAGTTTGATTTAGTAAACAAATGAACTGAAGGTTACAAATTAACACAGATAATCACACTTTTCACCGATTATGTAATGTTACCAAACTCAATTTAACAACCGAAGAGCCAGAGAAATATCTGGTTATATGAAATATTCTCCTTCCAACTAACAGCTTCATGTTGTTTGAATTAACGACCAAACCTACCAGCTCATTTCACCTTAACTTGATTAGTTTCTTTGTTATTTTGCTCCAGTGGATCCTGCAGCTCCGTCCTGCACAGCAGGTGAATATCTGCCCAGGTTTCTGCCTCCAACTCCTGAACATGGAGATCAGATCTATACCAACGTCAACCAGGCTGTGGAAATCAGCGTCAGAGCAGAAGCTACCCAGGCTGAGTGAGTGATCAATACAGGAGCTTCATAAAGTTTTCATGGAGTCTGCTGAAAAGTTTCATTTGGTTTTTTTTTTTACCCTGGAAATAAACAGTGAAAAAGCTTAAATAAATGACCTGGAGCTGCCATGATGTCAATGAACAATCCCAGCTTTCAAAACATGAGTGAAATACGGTTAGACAGAAATATGGAATCCATGTTGAAGCCTGATATTAAAATTATGCAAAAAGTGGCTGGTGACTAACATGTAGAGTTAACTGATGCTATGTCAAAGTTGATTGGACCATCGTCTAAATTTGGATCTACATGTACATATCTGTTGATTTCATATTGAATCAAAGTTAAGGAATCAGTACTGGTGCCTAATTTAAAATGAGATAAACTCTGGCCCAGTGATTAAACGCTTGAAACAGCATTAAACATTGATTCAACATTGATTAGTCGTTGGGATTTTAGTAAATAGTATTCAAAAACAAAACAACATTGATTCAATCAACATGAGCTGATTGGCTAGAACTGGGTGATTGTTTGACGATTGATCCACCATCAGTCATCAATCAATCGATCTTTTAGACCAATAGCTCAACACTGAATTAGTATCTGTTGCTATCTGGGATTCTGTCATGGCTATCAGGTGGGGAAGTGTTGGACATATCAGTCTAACTCTCCTGTTTGTTATAGGACCACTGAGCTGCTGTTCAGCGGGCCGCAAGGATTTACCAAGAGTTCATCAGGGCCAGGAAACTTCAGCCTGACATGGACGCCATCGGCCACTGAAGCGGGACTGGGCCATCCTCTCTGCTTCGTTGTCCAAGCAAAGTTAGTGTCTTATTTCATTAATGCTTTTAAAAACTGCTGAAAGAATACTTGGTTTCATATAGCAGGAAACAGAGTTCCTATCAAACATTTTTGTATCCAACACTGAGCTGATAAGGCTGAGAATCAGCACAAAGATCTGCATGGATGAATGCAGCTCTAAAAGGTCTGGTGGAGAAGAATCAGTGCAAAGGCACAAAACTAGCTCATGAAACCTGATTTTATCCATTTGGCACAAGAAACGCTGCAAAAACACTGAAACTTACCAAGTATTTTTGATCTAGTTTCTACAGCTGAAGTACCTAATACCTTTCCAGAAAGATATAAGGGCTTGTTTTGTGTGAATGATTCTTTAACATTGATGAAAAACTTCTAGTTCCTCTGGCAGATTATTTTACTTCTAACATGGGGAAATGTCTTGTTACAAGTGAAATAATTTGCCAATGGAAGAAACACTTTTTCATCAAAGTTTCGAAATAAATGACTCAAAACAAGCTCTTCTATGTTGCTGAAAAGGTACTTGTGAGTTAGTTTTGCTTTATTTCAAGTTTACTAATATAATTTAACAAGAAGCTAGACCATAATAATTGATAAGATATTGTGTTTTTGCAGTGAATAATATATAATCGATACACTTGACTGTGAAATCTCATTTGTGCGCAGAGTCTGAATGTGTGGGAGCTTTAAGAAATCAAATGAACGGTTGGAAAATATCTACGATTCCACCATAAAATCTAAAGGTCCTTCAGTTTTAATAAACTAAAGCATTAAAGTCCAAAGTGATGAAAACTTTTAAACCATCCATTTTAGATGCAGTTTATACAAACAGCACATTAAAGTTTGAGATTGTAATTTGACAAAATGTGAAAGGTTTAAAGGGTAGAGAAGCTTTTTTACAGTCATCATGTTTTTAGCCATTTGAATCGACTCTTATTGCAACACAAATCTGATTTAGATGCCAAAGTAAATATTTCTGAGGTCAAAGACATTCAAGTTGGGACATTTTAATGAAAGAGAAGAAGACTGTGGAAAATAATAAGAACTGATCCATAATCATAATATTTTTTCCTAAAATTCTTAATCTCTGACAGATCCTGTACTGATTTGTTGAAATTGCTATTTTAATACTTAGATAAACTGAATTGATTGGTTGTTTTATTATTAATAGATTCATATCTAAGTTGTTGCTCTAATTTCCTCCACAGCTCCTCCGGCTCTGTGTACCAGTCTGACCTCCGATGTGTCACTGTGACGGCTGGGAGCAGTGAGTGGGAAACTAAACTTTGGTCTTTAATTTGAAGTCGATCTGATTTCTCCTGATCTAATAACATTGCTGCTCCATCCACAGGTCCAGTCACTGCTTCCCCTCCAACTACACCTCCAACTACAACTACACCTCCAACTACAACTACACCTCCACAACCCACAACAATTTCACCTCCAACACCCTCCAACCCAAACTCAGAATCATGTAAGTGTTGATGTTAGAGAACATGCAGGCTATTACCTGAAGCATTTTATTATTAACCAATGAAATAAGTCCAAGTCCAACCCTAAACAAATTGCAAACAGCCCACAGGCTTAAAAAATAAAAACATCCAGCTGTTATTTGGCAATAAGTTCATGTTTTCTCATGTGTAGAAAATGAACTGTTTGAAATACTTTTGCCCGTTTCCTAGCAACCACAACCTGTTACCTAGCAACCCAAGGAGAGTTCCAAAGTGCTTGGTCAGCTAGTTTACCACTGTACAACGGCTGCTGGAAGAGACAATGTTTTGTTGTTGACTTACTCCAGAATCCACTTGTTGCATTCCTGATGGCTTTGCTAATCGCAGGAAGACATCCGCTGACAATCGAAATGATCAAAGCTTGATCAAAGTTTGCATAAGCACAGCCAAGGGATCTTTGTTGGTTAATTATCCTTTTTCTTTAAATCATAATGCTGACTGTTTGTTCTTCTAGATTATGTTTTGGCTCTGAATGCAAAGCTTTCCACTTCACTGTCACTGAAGAATGAATCTGCGACCATCATCAACCTGGTCAGTAACCTACTTCACTTCAGTGTTAACAATGAGAATAATCAGCTTCATCCTAGTCTAACAGGTTCATCTGCTTCATGATGAGTTTTACTTTCATCTTCTGCACTGTTTTTGTTTGAACAGATTTAGACTAAATATCAACTTAACATAAGGGATTTCTAAGTGAAGAGCCTCTTTAGATCCAAAGTTTTAGCATAAAAACGTGGCTGAGTTTTGTTCTGTGTGACTTACTGTTTATATAAAGTAGCTCTGATTTCATGTCTTTTTCTCTTCAGATTAAAGAGGAGCTGGAAAGACAAGGACTGCCAGCAGGAATAATCGTAGAGCTGCTAAACAGTGGTGCAGTGCAAGTCGCCCCCTAGTGGCTGAACAAAAGAAATAATCTGTTCCTCATTGGGAAATGTGATTTGATATAAAATGTTTTCTTTAATCTTTGATTCATAGAGTTATACTTATTTTATTGAATCATAAGGACTCAGAATATTCCCAGTTATTAAGCCAAACTGAGTGAAATAAGATTTTAATACTCCCTTCGGCCTTCTATCACCTGAAGAACATCTCCAGGATTAGAGGACTGATGTCTCACCGCGA